AGGCACCAGCTCAGCCAGGCCCTTGCTCAGCCTGCAAAGGGGAGGGTTTGGGCCTAAACRCAGGCTGGATTTCTGCAGGGCACGCTGTCTGCCTGGATTAAACCAATGTCTGCCCCAGAGAGGGTCTGTGTGGGCCCCGGGGTGCCCTGTCCTCGAGGTTCCTCCGCACTCTTCGGTGCCGGGGGAGGCCGTGGCAGGCGCCCCGCTCGCTGGGCACCACTGCACTCGCTGCAGTGAACGCGACTGCCCCGAATCYGCCGGGGCTCAACCCGCTGCCGAGCGCCGGGAGCGCGTGGGGCCGCACCGAGGGCGGCTGCGGGGCCGGGCGGGCATCGTGCCCCACAGCGGCCCCCAAACCGGGCAGCAGCTCCGGCCGGGCCGCGTCCCCCTGCCCGGCCCTGCGCCACGGCGCCGTGCCGGGGAGCAGCCCGGGGCCCCGCGCGAGGCGGGCGGCGCTTTGAGGATCGCTTTCAGCGACTCGGGAGGTTAAACGCCTGCTCGGAGGCGCCTATTGAGGGCCGGGCCGGGGGTGCCGCATTGTGCGGCCGCCCGCGCGCTTTGTCTGGCCGCTTTCAGYGCTGCCCTCAATGGGAAGCGGCCGCCCCGGCCCCGCGCCCGGCAGAAGGGCTCCTGGGGGAGAGGCGCTTCCTCCCGCCCTAATGACATTCAGGCCTCCATTGGTTCAGCTCCCGCTTTCTTTCTGCTGCAGTTTAACCCGGGCACGGAGGCCGGCCTCCATCTTACTGATCTCTGCTTGACACCCAATTACCACATGAATGGCAGAGAAAGGCTGCAAAAGGCTTTAACTCCCCCTGACCCTCCTTCCCCTCTGCCTGCTTCCCCCTCTCCCCTTCCTACCCCCCTCCACCCACCTCCCCGCTCCGGCTCCTTTCTCCCCACGGAGGGAGCGGGTTCAAAACTGCCACTGGGAAACCAAACAAAGGCGGCAGGGAGCGAGGGATCCCATTGTTGCCGCCCGGCGATGGCTCCCCTTTCGCCAGCTATTGTTCCCCGGGAAGTCGGACTTGCCGCGTGGAAGGAGGGGAGCAGCTGTTTGCGCCTTCCCCTGATGGTTTATTGAAAAATAATTGAATCACCCGTTCGAGGCGCCCTGCTACAAACAGCTCCTCGTGGCGCCGGGAGCCGCTTCGGGCCGCGTTTGGCGGCGGAACGCGCCGGCGACAGGAGCCGCTCCCCGCGGAATAACCCCTTGGCAGAGGGGAGAGACGAGTGCCCAAGGAGCAAGGAAAAGGCCGGGGACAAAAGCAGGGACACCCTCCTCGTGGCGCGGCGCTGCCTGCCGCGCGCTCCTTTGTTCGGGGTCCTGCCCGGCTCCCGCCTGGGCCGGCGCACGCGGCGGCTCCCGCGCGGACGCAGGCGGCGGATCCAGCGCGGGCGCCTTCCCGCCGCGGGCTCGGCCTCCGGGCTGGCATGGGGAGCCCTCCGGGTAGCGCGTTCCCCAAGGGAGCGTTGCCTTTACGCGTCTTCTTGTTCTTTGTGGTCTTGTTTAGCGAGCGCCATCCACGTTTACGGCCCTGTGGAAAAGACGCTGGCCGCGTTACGCTTTCCCAAGGAGATGATACAACTCCTTTCCCGTCTCCAAACATATGCCAGGGAATTGGGTGATGCTCTGGTTTCAGCATCCCCTGYGCAGACAGGAATTGCCCCTCTTCCCAAACACACCATGTCCCCAAAATGCCTGCTCTCTCTCGTGTGCTCACTGGCTATTTTTTCAGGACAATTGTTATGCTTACTAGATTTGAATGCCACTTTTGGCATTTGATTGGCCACTTTTGGCATTATGATTACTTTTTTATTTTTATTTTTGTATCTATTTCTTTTTGCTTTTATATCTAAGTACTAACAGAAAATACATAATGTTCTGTTGTGTTTCAGTAATTCAGGAATTGAGAGTCATTGRGGAACCACTTCTCCTATTACTTAGCCTCATAAAAGATTTCAGCAAGGAAGAACTCAGATATATCTACAAACACTGATCCGCAATCCGGATTAGCAGCTCCTCCACACGAATAGCGCCYGAGACGCTCCTGAAGTGCAAAGAAATCAGATTTTTGTCCAAGCCTTTTCTTCCCTCAGCCAGTTTCCCACACGATTAGCCCACCATCCTGGCCATAGGGCTGAGATACCCACTGGGATACCTAAAACACAACTAAATTTCTGTTCATCTGCGCGGAGATGGGCCTTGCTGGGGCCCTGGCCAGCCCGGGGAACCATCTCCGCCGAGAACAAAGGGCCCTTCCAGACCCCATCACCTTCTGCTCTGGGGTTAGCCATACTTTGACCCCCTTTCACACGAGCACAGAGCAGTCTGTCCGCGCAGATTTATGCCCCGYGCGCGGCGCACGCTGTGCATATGTGCAGAGACGTCGCTTGGGGCCGCGGCGCGGCTCCGCTGGCGCGTTTTATGGCCCTGGYGGGCAGCGGGACGGAGCAGGGAGGCCCGAGGGGCCCCGGGGGCTCGTGGGGCCCTGTCCAGGCGCCGCACGGCCCGGCTGCGCCCGGCTGCCCCGGCTCCTCGGTCATTAATCCCCTGCGAGGACCAGCACTGTTGGCGCGGGGCAGGGGGCGGAGGCCGGCTGGGCTGCCATGTCGGGGAGCGCCCGACGCGGCCCCTTCCCTTCCTGCCTCTAGAATACTAAAAGGCACCCTGGGAGGGGAATTTGGGGCAGAACAACTGTTTTTAAGTGAGGAATAAGGAATTTATTGTGTGTCTCTTCACAAACGCGTTTCCCGTGGGGCAGAATGAGGCGCGTGCTCATGGCGGAGCGCAGGCCTGCGGCCTGCAGGCTGTGCTCGCCGTGGACCCAGGCAGGCCGCGGTCCAGGGCCGGCGAACCGCCCCCCTCCCCGCGGCCGCCGCCGCCATTT